GTTGGTCCCACGCACGCATGATCTTGCGGTCCAGACAAGTTTTAGTCAATAATCCTTGTCCAGATTCAGAAAAGGTATTGGGTCTGTTGAATTCTCGGAGTGAAGGGTTTCTTCTGAAGTAGCTCCAATTGAAGACAATGCCCCTGAAGTGGCCCTTGAAGCAGAGTTGGCAGAATTGCGGGTGTGTGTTGGATTGACGCCTGGGGTCCAGTGGGGCAGAGCCTTGCCAACCCTATCCCAGGCTCCAACAACACATGCTGGAGGCCTTGGATTATATCTCCAGACATAAACTCTTCAATGACATCACCAAAGTTAATCTCCATACGGACTCCCTGCTTGCTTATGAGTTTCTACATGGACTTTCTATCCCCAAGCAACACCATTACCCCCTCCAAATTCGCCTCCTCATTGAACACTTGCTCCGCAAATACAAATCTCGCTCCTTACGATTAGTAAGGGACACGCAGGACATGAAGGCAACGAGCGCCGCCGACACATTAGCCAAGAGTCCAAGTGTGGCATTGCGCATTCCTCGAAATTGGGCAGACATTCCCACCCCACGCGCGCACCACTCGGGGAAACCATTGAGGCCCGGAGCCCGCCTTCGTTTGATTTTCTCTCCCTTGTGGCCGCTGCATTACACCAAGCGGCTCTCAAAGCTGCTCCTCGCACTAAACAAGACCAAACATATAAGTACCAAACGACTTATTGACCACATAGCGGCATAGCGGCTACCCCACCGGAGGATCACGCGCTCCTTCAGAAACTGAGCGAAGCGGTAAAGCGTCGAGCCCGGAAGGATAAAAACAACACGTATGTGACAATCTTTTACAGGACAGCAAAGGCCCACCCTCGAAGCAATGGTCCACCTTGAGATGTCTCCGTAAGGACTACGCCCACCGCACACAAGGCATCTGCAAGCCCAATTGTCAAATGTCTACCAAGGCCAACAAGCCCGAAGTCCTAGCAGCGCACCTTGAAACACAGGTGTGGAATGACCGTCATTTACCTCCTATATCAGATACTCCTATCTTCCCGCCGTCTCCCATTGACACGAGTCCGTCCACGAAGCAAGAACTTATGACTGCGCTAGCCCTCCTACAAATTCGAAAACCCCCGGGCACAGATCAACTACGAGCAGAAATATGGACATATGCTCCCATAGCAGTGCATAAAGCACTCTTAGAGCACTTTAATAAAGCCTTCTCGGAGGCCACATCTCCTGGTTCTTGGAAGGTGGCCGATATTGTGATGATGTTTAAATGGCAAGAAAAGGGATCCCACTTTTCCTGCGAGTTATCACCCCATCTCTTTAATCAGTACGGTTTATAAAATCTACACATGCCTGTTTCACTCCCGACCGAAAGCGGCTGTTGACGATCGCATTTCTCCGGTCCAATTCGGCTTTCGCGCTGGAAGATCTATTTCAACCCCGCTGAGCGAGAGGTGTCTGCAGCACATTCAAGATACTTTGGTAACACTGACCTTTGGAAAACACTACAGCCACTGGCTCAACATAGGAAAGCTTGGACCAACTTAATTAAAGGTTTTACCTTGAACAGCTGAAATGGTTGCTGACGAGTAGTCTTACTTGTGGACGTGATCTGCACGACTGAGAGAGAAACGGGCGTGTGTGTTTGGCAACCTAAAACAACAGTCGCCCTAGAATACCTCGGTTCTATAGAAATAGCCAATGATAGGTCAGCCTTCCATTCGAAGCAGCATTCAGGCACAGAACGGCTTTGAAACAGCTGACCGTTTCCATGACGTTGTATTCAGCTCCGTTTGTCGGGATCGTGTAGGTGTACCAGGCAGCAGAAGAGGAATGAAAATGCCGTATTGGATTTATTGGATAAAGACCGCAACGCAACGACATCACAAAAGCCATTGGATTAAAAATACTAGTGAAGGAAGTCTAGGACCACACCAAGTTTATGCCAGAATTAATCGAGACCTGAGGAGTTCCTTTGAACGAGCGCCGAAGCGCGCCGGAGAAAAGTGCTCAGGGCAATACCAAACACTTCTTGATTAAGTCTTAATTAATGGACTTAGTGACTTCAGCATGCTAGGTTCATAAGTTTCGTATATCTTCGAATCGCTTCCCTGACCCCAGCAGTGAAATTACCAGCACAGCACATTCTGCCAAGGACATGGTGAGTGAGGAGTACTGGTCAAGCGACGGAGCTTGGGGTGCAGGACGGGGCGTGCTAGGGTGTTTTCCGAGCATTGCCAATTTAATGTTGCATCGGTTCCTGCCTATCGAAATCTGATATTCAAACTTTCTGTTTCGCCTCGTCGCAGGTGACGCTTGGAGAGAGTGGGAGCACGAAGGTGCAGGTTCACTTACCTTGATGTTGCATCCCAGTGGTTTTGGCACGACAATCGCATTTTTCAAATCATAAATTTGAGCTCATTTTTTCCAAATCAGCACAGTCAAACCGGTTGCTCACGACTGACTTGTTTTGACATTGCAGTCGCTGGATGGCATCAAGATGGGAGACTCGCTTCGTGATGCATGCCAGGTCTGGAAGAGGGCGGCTGGGCGCCGCCCCCCGCGCCTGCAGTGGGGCACAAAGTGTTGAGAAAGTGCTGGGACATGTTTGACGAAGGTTTGGAGGCGAACCCGTTAGGCCGGTAACTTTGGCCTAGCAGCGCCTAGCACGTCTCGTACGGATGTGGAGCCCGATGCCCAGTCGAACTTTGGGGACCTGGAGCGCCGGATCGACACGATGTCCCAGGCAGAGCCCTAAACTTCTTTACTCCTCCGCAAGACCTTTCGGAGCGAGAGCAACAGGAGTTCACGGAAAACTTGCGCAGAATCAGCGAGAAGGACGAGAAGCAGCATTTTATAGCATTTTGGGGATTTCAGGTCGCTGGGATTGGGAGCAAAGCTGTACGGAGGCCAGTGCAGGTGTTCTGTGACGTGTGCAGGGCATGTGTCGAGGGGTACAGCACACGCAGTGAGCCAGCAGCTGTGTTCACGTGGGGGCCGCGCGACGGTTCGACGCCAGCGGTCTTAGCAAGAGAAAGGATCAAGTGGACGTGCCAGAACAGGAATCCTCGACAAAGTAGCCAGGGGAAAATGGCAACCGGATGCTTTACGATCATCGTCTCAAGAACTCATCATGTTGTTCTTACGCAGGTCCACAAACAACACAAAGAACATGACCGGTGGAGACCTGCATGCAGTTGTGAAAGATGTTCTTCTTCCTTCAGGACAACGAGAAGTTCGACCTCATCTTCTCGATTCTGCAGCAGCTGCAGAATCGACAGGCCAAGGGCTCAGTGCAAGGCATTCTGCAAGCCATTCAGGGCAAGTGTGGACTAGCGAAGTTGCGCTGCTTTGCGTGGGCTCGATCTCTGTGGCATGCAGGCCCAGCTGGAGGAGACGGTGCGTGTCCTGCAAACGCAGGCTTGCCCGAGAGATCTCCAAATAACCTACGAAGGGCTTGAGCAAGCACCGGAGCAACTCTTGTTTGGCGTTCCGGATCCATTGCTGAACTTGCCCGTACGGGAGCCTTGACAGAGCAAACAGCGCCCAATCTTCCATTGCCGAAAAGGAGAAAACTTTTGTTCTCAGTCGAACCGCATCAGTCAAAGCCCCAACGTGCTGGGAGGTGGGAGCCACCACGACTTTCGGGAGTGTAGGCCAAGCGCTTCTGAATGGCTTGCATTCTCCAGGTGTGTCGTTGAGCTGCGCTTGACTGCGCTAGTCAGGGATGTGCGAGACCGCGCCTTCACGTCAGGCAGTGTCTCGACGACCGAGGAGGATGTTGGGAGTGTAAACATCAGGCCCGGTGAGCCTGAAAGGTGAAAAGTCGGAGTTGCTCAAGAGCGGTGTGATCTTGATTTCCTCAGTTCTGATTGCTGGGAGCAGCTGTGACTGTTGACTATACTTTACTAGTACTGTGGATGCATTTCATCTTGCTCTTTTTGTGCCAGTAGTCCGGCCAGCGGAGTGGCAGGCCATGGGGCCATGGGGTATGGATGAGAAGAGATTGTGGGTGTTTGCATAGCATGCATGCTATCCTAAAGCCTAAAGATGGTTCGAAAGTGGAGAAACGCTGGAAGTCTCGCTTTGTGACTGTTGCAAGGCAAGTGAGTCACAAGTCGGTCTTCAGTTCTTTCTACGTATGGTGTCGTTGCACGTCGAATCTATTGAACATGATTATGCATGCTTGCCTGATGCAGTCATGGACTGATTTGAAAGCTAGCTGGGAGCAAGCTAATGTTCGATGCGAGCCAGCATCTGACAGAGATGAACAAACAGTAGACATCGCTTGCTCAACGCTGTGGGTTCGGCAGCCGTGCAAATCTGATCAGGCAGTGTCACATCAGGCAGCAGCAACATGGTTCCTGTGAGCAATGTTATGGCACGGCCCCCGGTTACAGTTTCCGCGATGTCGAGACATAAGAGTACGACCGGTGCTGCACGGTTTGCTAAGTAGCAACAGGTGCGGCAAAAATAATTCGGGCTGCAGAAATTGCGTTGCATGCGAGCCCACTTCAGTCCTGAACACGCAAGGCAAGCTGTCGTGATGCTTGTTCTGGTTATTTGACTGAGGTTGTCTGTCAGCCGAACGGCATGATGCAGCAGATGCAGCAGATGCCGCAAGTCATGTGACCCTCGTGGGAGTTGATACAGAACGAAGTAATTGTAGGCACCGGGGGCCTTATAATCCCTTGTTCCGGATCTTCGGAATTGAGTCCAGGCTGATAGGATGTTGGATAAGCGAGCAAATTTTTTTTTATCAGAAGCTGTTAACCATGCGCGAATACAGGTAAAGAGCCTAGCCGAGCCTTTAGAGTGCGGGATCGGCTCTTCCAATATACCGCAGCCGATTTCTTCAGCTTTCTCGAACAACACCGGTGCTGGCCAGCGTGTGCTCCTCCTAGAGCCGCAGCCAGACTCGAAACACCCCACGCATGCTAGGCTGCTATGCTGCGCTCCAGATGCGAAAGGCTCCACGCAGCCATGATGCACTCCAAGCCATAGCCGCATGGTGACGGCAGCGCGAGATCGCAGCCGCAGCCCGAACCGGCCCCAGGAGGCGGGCACGACCCACAAATTCGGAGGGTGTCCCAGGATATCCAGGATTGTGGATGGTTCGGTGATGCGTCGTCTCGGCTGGTCAAGTTGTGGATCGGCATTTCGGCTCGACAGAGACTGGTTATGCTGCGCCAAGAATTCGGGGAAACCGAGAAAGGAAGGGAAGAAAATGGAAAGAAGTTGGGTCATTGGGGCGTTGCTTGCCTCCGTTCAATTGGGTCAGGCAGTGCAACCAAGTCCAGCTAAGGGTCCAAGCAGCAAAGAGGCCGGAGCCACGCAGTGGACCAGCTTCTTCGTGTCGACTCCACGTAAAGAAGTGGAAATGCAAGACAGTCGAGCGGAACAAAAACATCTGACCAGCCTTTGCAACACCAAAGAGCTGCGAACCAGCACCGGGAGAGAAGGGACTAAGTGCAGATCAAGGTTTCAGGAGGCCCGAAGAGCCGCATCCGAGAGTGCTTCGAACCTTGCTTCGTGCACAAACTGCCGCGTCTCTCGCCAATTCCGTGCGATTCAGTGGACAAGCGAGCCCAATCTAAAGTTAAGCTTGCCGTTTTGCCTCGCATCATCAGGCCTACAGTCTCGGTTTGTCACGATAGGCGGTGGAAGTCGGAGACCGAGGATCCGGGGTGGGGAATGTTGTGGATTTTAGTGACATTCTAGTCTTTGGCTTACCACTGGCAGGCGAGCTGGTGCCTGGACTCTGGGCTCCGGGACTGGCGCCCGCGACAGGGCCCTGGGCGTGTACAGTCACCTGGCAGGAAGCCGGTAGTGTTTTTGGATGCTTTCGACTTAGAACCATTCTTCTGGGCAACTCTTGTGCATGATCAACGTTCAACATCATACTATCAAGCTAGTGAATGTGGAGAGTTTCTGGAGAAGCAGTGCCGTAGATTGTGCTGCGACATCTTGACATGCTACGGCAAACTGCTATAGACTCGGCATATCCATCCGGACTTCACGAGTAGATTATATTCACGTTGCTAGTCACCGGGTGATCAGATTGACTGCTGCTCCGTAAGACCTCGATGTTCATGACTTCAGGTACAGTGTCGTGCCGATCACTCCGGCAGAAGTGCGACCCGACAGCGTCGGCAGGTCATGGCATGAATGTGTCAACATGATCTGAGTTTGCATTCAACAATCAGATACAGCAGTGTGGTGATACTTTTGAGATCTTTTTGAGGTTATTATGTTCAGAGTAAAGAGCCCCTGCACTACTCCCGCTGTGGTGCGGGGCATGTTTTCGTCTAAGTCGCGTTCTTTCCACGGTCCTGTTGTGCTTGCGTGCTTCGGGCACGGGCACTCCGATTCAGTGTGAGGGCAACCAGTTTGGATTGGTTCTGGGCTTCGACATGCTGAAAAGGTTTACAGTCCTGGCAGGGTCGCAATGTTCGGCCTCTCGGTTGCGTCATGTTGCGTCCATGCGGTGGATTGCTAAGCCCGCTAGTGCATGGGCGAAGCGAAATTGAGAGGTCCTGGTGTCATCGTTGTCGTTGTGGTAGTCGTGGTGGTGCTGGTCCTGGTCGTGGTCGTCATGGTGGTCGTGGTCTCGTGGTAGTCGTTGTGGTCAAGGTGTCTTGGGGTTCACGTGGTGCGCGTTGTTTCACCGTTTAGGGTCTATGGAGGCATAATGATCATGGAAGCCAAGATGCTGGAAAGGCTCTAATTAACGTCAGCTACGAAGACGGAGCGCAAGGCAGTTGACACCTTGCTCCCAACAGCTACCAACACCCAGAGGTTTCATTCAACAGACCTGAGCCCCAAGAAGCCCAGACGGCCTTGCGCCAAGGTATCCGAGGCCGCAGGGACAGGGGAAGTTCGAAGGAGTGAGTTTCCAGTGGGCGGGGTTGTCCATCGCCGAAGTTAAGCGAACGTGTGTAGTGGAGCAGTCGATACCGTGAAACGAGTCAGGAAGGCATCGAGGAAAAAATTACATCGGTCGTCGGGTTGGGTCATATTTATTCACATTGAAGATGTTGTGCCAGGGCACCGAGCAGAGAGGCAAAGCTGCCGCTTGCAGTGTACTTCCCAGGACCGAATCAGGGCTCGGCTCTTTTTTGGACTCCAACTTGTTGGCCCGCTTTTTCAAGGACTTGGAGACAAGTCCACGGTGGTTCATGAGCGAGCAGCGGACTGGGCGAAAGTTGCACCGGAGCCCTTCCTGCTGGTGGGGAGTTGGGTGCTGGTGGTTGGATGGGGTTGGGGTCGAGGACTTGCGGCGGCCAAGGCTAAGCCAGTTGTAGGCTGGAGACCTGCTACTAGATTGGGCGTTTAGTTGCGATTCTGCATTTGTTTGCGTGCTCGGGGTTGCGATGCGAAGTAGGTGTGATGAGAGAGAAGCCATGTGACAGATTCCTCGGAAGATTCCTCGTTACCACCTCGGCCTGCAGGTGGCGCCAGAGCGGCCGAGGAACCACTGGTGGTTCCTGGACGTGACCTGGACAAGAGTAGACAGAGGCGACGAGAGACGAAGGTAGTGAGGAATGCGTCGCTGCGGTGCGTTGCAGTGAGGATGGCTCCGAATTGGGATGGATTCGCGGGAAGCTCCGACCTGCGACTCGTCCGTTTAACGTCCGTGGTGCCTTTTGTCCCCTCTTTGTAGGCAGTCGTCGACTGAACTGAGTCCTGCGGCTTTCCAGGACACGGTGGATTTGTTTTGCGAGTGGATCGCGGACTTGTCCGAGTATCCCGGAGTGGACCACGACCGTGTTGGACTGTTCGGGTTTTCTGCCGGAGCCTATGCCGTGCCGATGCCTCAGCCAGATGCAAATGCAGTCGCTACCGAGAGTTCGTGTGAGCCAGCAGTCGACGCCGGCTAGATCGAATATCCAGATACCGCTGCAAGTCTTTCTGTGTGGTTAAGTTCGGTCCTGACATGAACATCAAAGTTGCGGTGTAGCACACTTGTGTGCGAAGTGACAACTTATATTGCTTTCATCAATCACCGATCGACCCCGTGGATGTACTTGAGTCGACTACTTCGAACATGATGCATTCCGTTGCCATTTTGGTATAAGCTGCGAATGGACACTTCTTTTCCCGCCCTTGCAGTTCCTCTGCTTTCATTCTGCGAGATCCGACAGTCCTCCGAATATCGACAGGACATTTCTGTAAGAAGTGCGATTGAAGCTTTCAGCCAACTCGACTAGACTCCGAAGAGAGTCAGCAATCGCGAAACACGCCTCCGAAGCGAAAACAGTTGGAAAAAGGAGCGCCTAGCCGGGGATGACAGGTGGTCAGTGATGTGAGTCGGAATTTGGAAGACTATGGTAGGAAGGGTACGGGCCCAAAGGCAACTCCAAAAGGAAAGATAGGAAAGGGAAGAACAAGCGGCAGGATTACTCCAAGAAGAAGTGGGAATGTTCACAGCGGTCAACATATCTGCGTTCCAGGACGCGCCCTCCTAAGTCGGTGCGGATGCAGCAAAGACAACAGGAAGAGGTGGAGGAAGGGGTGCACCCCTCCTCAGGGCACGACCAGGCAGGTCGAGGCTCGGGCACCCACAGCCTCAGCCCCGAGTAGTTCATCAGTTCCGTGGCCTCCACCTCCGCCACCTGCACCCCGCGGGCGCCTACAGTTGGGAGATAATCCCCGCCACAGAGTGGATCGTGGGGATGACCAGGAAAGGGGAGATGGTCCGCCACCCCCTGAGGAGGTGGACGAAAGGGTGTACCCCTCAGGACACGACCAGGCAGGTCAAGGCTCGGGCGAACTCGGAAGTGAAGGACCCGCAGCCTCAGCCCCGAGCAGTTCGTCTGTTCCGAGGCCTCCACCTCAGCAACCGGAGCCAGCAGACTCCTGGTGTGTGCCACCATTACCTGCTTTGCAGCCCGAGGGCAATGAGGTTATGGATGAACGAAAAGAACCCCTACAGGAAAGCCTGAGCCAGAAAGAAGGTGGACCCAGGCTGGGGGAACAGCGTCTTCCACAGAGGCGAACCCCAGGTCGAATGGGGCAGAGTGGCCTTCCGGAGACCGCTCCAGAGTACAGTGTAGGGAGAGGTCGTCTCCCCTGTTATCCAGGAAAGCGTTCCGCCTGGCACTGCTATAGTCCTCACATGCACACTGAATCACATATGGATGCTGCCATCCGTTTCGCAAACTGGCGATGTGCCCAAGGGGCTAAAGTTTCGCCACAACTGCTTCAGTAAAGGGCACCCTCCGGGAATGCCCCACAGGTTTGAGCTAGCTGCTAGCAGCATAGCAGGAGTGGGCTTCCCCTCTAAGGAGTTGGCCGTTACCACTCCTGCACAGTAGCTCACAGGAGAGGGTGGTCACCCCTCCGGAGGTAAAAGACCTCCTAGCTCACGGAAGAGGGTTGACACCCCTTCCAGGGCTTTAGGTGTGCGCTAGGCTCGCCATAAAGCATGGCTTGAGCTGCCCACCTGCGACAGTTTCACCCAAGACCAAACTCGGACCCTGGCGAGGCGTGAGTGAGAATGTTCACAGCACGAGGAGGAAGGAGAAGACGACGAGGATTTTAAGCAATGTCTGCAAACAGATTGTACTGGGTGAGGAGGAAGGGTCCGCTCAGGACTCCACAAGCCTCAGCTCGTCCAAAAGACCGCCCAGATCGATGGTGGTAATCACAAGATTTCTCCAACTGCGACCCCTGCCCCTGACTCCACGCGACGCCGGCGGCAAGAGGATCACAAGAACGATGAAAGGCAAACCCGTCCGCGGGGTCGTGCGTTGGACGACCCGGATCTCATTTTCCCCTGTGGCCATTGCATGTGTCTTGCAGCCACAAACAGGAATTGCAAAAGATGCGCCTTTGAGCAAAGATAGTTACACAATTCTCCCCAGCTTCCCGTGCCCTTGTCCAATCAATTACAACGGTGTCCTTTGCGAGGGTGCAATCTCTCCTGAACACCTTGGTCTCGGCAAATGCCCAGCTTGCAAAGCTCTTCGCAACTACTTCGTTCGCATGCACAGGGGTGATGGCGCCGAACCCAAAAGCCCCTACCACCATGTGCTTGTTATAGGCTAGGAGAGCTGTTCTTGAATAGATTGAGGACCCCAGTGAACAACTCCAGCAGGCAATTATTGACATGGCCTATGAAGACTGCTGTGACCAACAGCCCGAAGCGCTAAGGGATTGGTTTTACGCCGTTGCGTTCCCCTGAAGAAGGTCTTGAAAACCTCCCTCGCCCCCAATCCACCAGAGTATGTTGCCCAAACCAGCTTTTTTCTCCAGACCTTGGCCTGAATGGAAGCACCCGAGTGCTTCTCTTTCCCATGCGAGCCCGCGTGACTATAGTCGCCTCATGAACCTGTTTGCCATGGCTCTTTCACGAGTTCGATATGCCTCTCCCCTCTGAGGTACCAGAGCAGATCTTGATCAGGTAGGATGGGAAGACTCCGTTTTGATTACGCAAGACCTGCTTCCGTTAACAGAGATCATTCGCCAGCCGTATTCCCCTGCTCTTAAGAAGCACAGCATCAACAAGCACTGGGATAGAGGATGTATCAAAACTCCAGCACATTCGTTTTCTTCTGACCGTCGCTCCTGCTTTCCCCTTTCGGACAACAATACTTTGAAGCGATTGGCTAATTCGGGCTCCTGTTTTTTTGACCTAGTGTATACTATCAGGTCACAGTACTCCACAATTGCCAGACCACTAAGAAACAGGACCTCCCAGCCCCCAACGAACAGTTTGTAGTGCTCTACGATGCGCTGGTAGATAACCTCCACCGCGATCACCCTCTAGTGGATGGTAAGCACCATCTCCTAGATCGGCGTTGGAACAACACATGTAATAGCATGGAAACCCTCCTTGTTATGAGTTGCAGAACTCGGGCAACATTTTTTTGCTCGGGCCACCGCTTGGCTCACAACGCAACTCCAATTTCAGTAACAAAACGTCCCTTGGATCGAAGAATACTGTCCAGGACTGCCTCCAAGGTGGCTACCCCTAGCCGCGCTGCTGTTCGCCTTCGAGACGATCTTTCTCCTCTAATTATCTGGCTCCAGTACCCCCTTCTTCCTACAAAGCACTCGGTGGCAACATGGGTTTTGTCCTGAAGGGCGCGCCCCAGATGTACGAATGACCCCTGCCCAGCTCACTAAGTTCGACTCCATGCATTTCATGTTTATGCAAGATCTGTAAGATCAAATCTTCTTTCTGTCATCGTGTCCTAAATCCGTCACGCCTCAATCTGTTGGGACATTTGTACCGCCACGCAAAATCCTTTGAAACGCAGGCCACCTTTATGCCGCCAGCGGCATACCGCCACGCGCGTGGACCCAACAGGGTTGGACGGACGACCCAAAGCCCACTGGACTGAGTCGTGTCTAGTTGAGGATTCCAAAAGATTGGATATTCTCCAGTCCGACGCGCCACCCCCGCACTCACATTCCGAGCATGAATTCTTCTCCATTCCTGCTGCGGCTCAGATTTGACGGGAGCATTCTTCGCAATCCATGATATGGATGGATAACACTCCTTTGTACCGCCGACTTTCAGCAGTGGCCAAGAATAGGGCACTTTGGGTTTCCGGAGTACATAAACCAAGCCGCAAATCCCCAAAAGTGCTCTTGATCGGTCTGTGCAGACGGCGGGCCCTACCTTGGACCCTTTGCTTGAAAAAAAAAGCCACGCCGCAATCCCAGGGCAGAGGTCCTCGCGCGTGGCCGCCTGCGCCCCTGCGGGGCTGGCCTCGGCGGAATCCATGGTCACGGGCAAGAGCCGGGGGCCCCAGCATTCGCCGGCGAAGGATTTCTTCGAAGCTTCTGAGGCTCTGGGGGTCGTGAAACCTTCGTTGGGAACAGGCGCAGGTCTCAATGCGGGCATTGAAACATCAGAGCTATTTTCTCTGTGCTCTGTCTGTGGTCTCTGGCTGCCAGATTTTTGTGTGCGGCTTAAACCCATGGATGTCCATCTAAGTCTAGATGGCGGGGGTTCTTTCCAGAATTTGGGCGTGTCGCAAGACGGGTGAGTGTTGCCTGTAGCAGGCATCTCGACAACCGGCCTGATGTTCCGGAACGCGAGGAGCGGGATACTGCGCTCAACACATCCAAGCTAGGCGATGCTTCTAGAACACGATGTCGTGTAGCCCAACGCAATACAACACAACATAATGCCCACGGGGTTGCGGATTGTAATGCCGAGTCATCTTGACCCTGAGCCGCAAGCAGATACGAAGATGCATCAGGCTCCCGAAGCGCGGCAGAAGTTCACGATCTTTCTGCAGCGCTTGGCCCGTCATGGAGGTGCTGCTACCGCCTTGTTGTACTAGTGGGAAGTTGCTTTCAGGATTTTGTGCAAAGCCACAAAATTCAAGCTTTCGTCGTGAGTTTTGGTTTCGCGTTCTTCATGTACTGGTTATTAAGGCACTCTGGTTGAGAGCAGGCCATGGATCGAACAGAGCAAGCAGTAACCTTTAAGACTTCGAGTCCCCAGCCAGGTAGATTCATTTCCTCTTTCGCTTGCCGTTCTCTCCTTCTCTCTTTCTTCACTTCATTTAGTATCATTTTATCATGCTTGTTATTATTTACTAGTCTCTCTCTTTTGCTCTATTTGGTCTCTCGCCGGTTATTTTTGCGAGTTGTTTGCTTCCACTCCAACTGTGTCACGGCTGGAGCTTTTGGGCTTTTGGGCACGTCTATTTCGCAGTTTGGGACAGACCTCTCTTTTGATTTTTAGCCATCCGGATCTGTGTCCACACACTATTCGGCAATATCTATTCTGCTGCAGTCAATCACCCACTTGCTTTACGGAACACTTCGGTGGACAGCCGAAAGCGCTGGCGGGTGCACGTCCAGAAACAGTGTTGCCTTCGCACAGCACACCAGTTTCCAGCTTGGATGCTTCAGGGGGGAGTCACAAGACTTGTTTTGACGTCTGAAACGTGTTTTGAGCTTTACGACGGTTCAAGATCACGAAAAAGACGATCACACGGTCGGAGACAGCATGCACATAAGTTTTTGCAGGCCAGTGCAGGCCGCATGCAAAAGAGCAGCAAGTGCGGCCATCAGCAGGTGCCCAGGTGCAGATTGAATTCTACTTTGAGCAAATTCCAGTTTCCGTTGTCTCACGTGAATTATGGATTGGCGGAAGCGCGATACATCGGACGTACTCGTGCTGTTGACAGCGCAGCAATGCAATCAAGGTTCTTCGAAAGCAATTTGGGATGCTTGAGAAATGACGCGTGTTCTTGTCGCAAGGTCCGGCAAGGCACTCGACATTTCGGGGATGTGTGTGTCCGTTGCAATCTTGCAATCCCCCCTCTCCGCACTGCCAGCATCAGCCTTCTAGGTCCGCCTGAAAGATGTAGAAGCCTGGATGCGCAACACTCAGCGCCTCTTTGTCAAGTGTGTCTGTTCATGATTTATTTCACTCTCGCCCTCGCTTCATCCCCCTCGATCCACTCCTTCGCTCTCACTCGCTTCAATCGTTCTCTAGTCCTCTGTCTCTATCTGTTGTCTTGTCTGTCTCTCTGTCTACCATCTCCCTCTCTCCTGTCTTTCTGTCGGCCTCTGCCCGCCGCAAGGTGCCCGATGGATCGGTGCCGTCCACGGGAAGACGGACCAGGAGAAGTCAAGGTCAAGAGCGAATGTTGGGGGTTGCCATCGAATTTCAGGCCTCTTCGGCCGACTTCGGCATGCTTGCAGCCATACAAAAGCAAAAGGGTGACGAGATCCTTTCAATTCTGACAGGAGTCCGATCCCCGGGATGCCCAGCAGATCTTAGAAGCGCTGAGCCGGCGCCAGGGTGCGCCCGGGCTGCCCGAAACACCCTGTGAGCGCGCCGGCTGCTTTTTTCTTTTCTTTTCGGGCTTCCGACCTGCCGTCTAAGGATCTTGGGCTGCCCCAGGCCGGGCCGTGCGGGGCTAACTTGAGGTTAAACAAAGTTGCTCGCTTTTGAGTCAGTGTCTGCAGCGGGACACAAGGGCTGTGCGGAGCTGACTACCGAATCGAAAGAATCGAAGGTCAGCATCCGCTGGCTCGAGGCGGAGGAGCAGGACTTCAGGCCTCATCTGCTCTGCCACGCTCTGCCCAAACCTGTGATGTCTTTTGAACTTTTTTGCTGGAACATATTTCGTATGCTCTGGTGTGTGTTCCAGATGCATCGTTCCGTCTTTGCAGGCCTACCAAGAAGAGAAATCGATCTCACCACAGCTACTTCGATGCCTCCTTCGTGCATGCAGGACACATGGGGTATGGGGCATCTGCAACGGCCAGCAAGGCATTACTCCACCCGTTGCTGCAGGCTTTTTTAGAAACCTATTCAGCACGGGAGTCCGTGCAGAGTGCTGGTGGCCACAGACGCCGGGCGCCGGACAGCAGGCCGTCTGCTTGCACAAAGTGTGCCCTCAACAGCTCGTGCCGTGCAGTCAGTTTCGGTGTCAGCAGTGCGCCAGGTAGTACTCCATGCGACACTTGGATTCTAGGAGCGAGGAGGTTTGGCTAAAAAATTTGAGATCTTGAGGCAGGCACCCTTGATCCGGTTGTCTTCAGGCTTTGCGACTACGCCTCTCCTTCTTGGCTTTACGTTGCTTCCCAGGGTTTTGGCGTCTTGTCTTTTATGGTTTTCTCGTACTGGTGATTCCTGAATACAGATCTCAGTGTCAATGCTCAATGAAGACCGAGTTTAAATCATGCTTCAAGGATTTCCTGATTCAGAATATGGGTCACTTAAACTAGATTTTATTTGCTTCCCTATTTCTGGCCGTTAAATCATGAAAAAAATCGATATGGATTCTCGAGTCCAGGGTGTTTAGGGTGGTGCAATCAGAAATCGATCTCTGAACCCGGAGGGACGGTATTAAATCTAGGCTTAATGCCCCTGTATCACGCGATCTCTTAAAATCGATTTAGTTCGCCTGGACCTCCAGGCGGTGGGACGGTATCAAATCTGGATTAAACCCTCTGCACCATGTAAACACTTAAAATCGCCTTTAGTTGACCTTTAAATCTAGTTTGAATTGTAAGGCCCTCATACCTTTGACCGGTGAACCGTTCGTCTAAGTCTGTGGGGTTTTTGAGACCTAAATCTCAACAGAGGGGAGTTGGTTTCCGGCGATTGCCGAGACCCTGAGAAGGTGACGGTTTTGGGCTTAGGGTTTCCCCTGAACCCCCACATCCACAAACCTGAACAACAAGTAACGCCACGCTCTAAAGATCTCGAAAGATTCCTGATCCACTCCCCTTTTTTGTCACCCTGGATCTTGGACGTCGAACCTGAACCCCGCTCCCTACGAACCTCGACTGTAGACCGAAGATCTTGGACCGAATCCCAAAGCCGCCCGTACAGTGCAGCGAGGAACATTGAACAGTAGTTGCGCTGCTTTCCTGCGACTTCATCAGGAAAGGCGATGGAAAGATGTACTTCCAGTGGGATGCCGGAAGCAACGGCAGGAAGAAATGGCGTTACTATGATCAAGAAGTGCATTCCTCAGCTGCGGGCATAATGCTGGTCGTGACCGGTTGTCGATTTCATTGGTCGCCGTCCTCGTCCCTCCAGGCGGCTGTGCAGACGGTGATCTTCACGTGATAGCCTGATGCTCAAGCCCCCATGATGCGCGGAGATGCAACGTGATGCGCAAACCTTGTGGGTTGGACTTGCGAAGCACAGTGGCCTGTGGAACCCCTATACATGATGCAGCCGGGGATTGTCCTGGGTCGGGAGGGTTCGTGGAGGGTGCTATCAGGGCAGGGTTGCTCAAAGTCCCCCGACATGCAGCAGCACCGTCGCAAGCATTGCAACGCAAGACTGTGACACAGCTTGGGAATGTCACAGGCGAACAGCCTCTTGGTGAAGTCCTACGCGGAATACCAGTGTTCAGCAGGCTTTGTGACTGTTTGGGCGAGCAGTAGATGATGAGAGAAAGATTTTTGATTGCGAGGGGTTGAGTTCTTTCCCGACAAGCAGCCCAGAAAGGTCATTCATGACCTCCTCTCTTCCTGTTGCAGGCGGGCCGTCGCAACAGATAGCTGTGGCGGGTCGGAGCTACGTGGTGGACTTCGTGCAGATGGCGCGGCTCTTTTGTTACTAGCAGTCAGCCACTTGCCAGGCTTCCGAACTTCCGAGCAGTGATTTTGTGGGCGCGGGAACAAACTGAAACAGCACAGCTTCATGAGACTTTCCCAAGGGTTTCGAGCCGATGCCGTGTGCATGCAGGCAACTTCTCGTCCGCTGTGAAGCCCCAATGACACTTTCTCGAAACTCCCAGGCTTGATTTCTGAAAAGTCACTGCTCCGGCGAAAGTTCACGAATTTTGCCCCCCCCCCCCCAGTAAGATGGGAGGAATGGAATCGCTTGTGTGTGTGTCATGAAGTGGCGTGATTCGGTTTGGCTCTTGTCAGGTCCGTCCGACCACTTCTCCTGTCTTGTTCATGTTATCGGCTTTGCAGCTGACTTGGTGAATGCTTTGCATTTTGAACACGAAGTCTTGCTCTGTGGCTGCGGAGGAGGTTAAGATCCCGTCTTTTTGGACCCGCCTTTTTGGTTGTTGTGCTCTCGTTCTGCTCATTCCTGCTCGCGATGCTGTCTCTTTGTGTCTGCAAATTTGTTGGCCGCGGGCACACGGCTCCATTTTGGCATGGCTTGTTGCTTACCTGCATTTTCTTGCCATTCTCTCCGGATTCGTTGTTCTGAATGCGGCAATTCCTTGTGAATGTTGACATCTGTCATACCTGAGATGTGCATGACGTTTCAACATGCCTCCATTTGCTGGAAAGCCGATGTTCTCTGACAGGAGCAGATCTCGTTGTTCAATGAGACTCTTTGCTGCACTTTCGACCACACAAAGACGCAACTGTGCACCTGCTTTATCCCACTTGCGCTGGGGTGTTGACTGTTTCGGTTTGTGACTCTTAGGCGTCGAAGTGTGCGATGCGTCAACTGGAGCTACTGGACCTGAGCGCAAAGACGACAGGGACGACACAAACAAGCGAGTTTGCTGCTTTGGCATGCTGCCTGTAGCCGTGTACTGTAGGTGTATCTGGGATAACGAAAGTGCGAGGCAGTGCCAAGTGTTGGCTCAAAAGCGACCTGCGGAGGAAGCGAG